TCTAAAAGGCAGGGATGCAGTTAGTGATCAGTTAAAGAAATATGCATGAAAAACAGTTAGAAAATATGAAAATGGATTCATCAGATGCTAGATTATCAGAGAAGACTCATATAAGAGTAGCCAGAATTAACAAAAAGTAAGAAGACAGCACAAAGGGCATAAAAGCTTGTTTACAAAAGTATAGTAAAGAGTTTAACATACAGATAAGTAAAGCATTCAGAGCCCTGAATAGCCACTCTCAGAAAAAAAAAAAGATCCAGAAATCAAACACAAGAACAGATTCTTAAAAGACAATAGTGAACAGTGTCAAATCACCTATAAAAAAATTCCTGTCAGAATTGCAACATACTTCTCAACACAAACTTTAAAAGCAAGAGGAGCTTGGAATGGAGTGTTTCAAGCCCTAAAAGAAAACAACTTCCAACACAGATAGATATATCGTGCAAAATTATTTTTCAAATTAATGAAGAAATAAGATATTTCCATGATAAAGAAAACCTAAAGAAATTCATGACCAGCAAACCAATATTCCCCAAAATATTCAAGATAGCAATAGAAAGAAACAATGAAGTTAACAATGCCAAAAGTCCGATAGAGTGAATCTATCAAGTAGAGCTAGCAATTAAGAGAAGGGAAAGAAAGTAAAACTGCAAAAATAATAAATAATAACAAAATAAATCAATACCTAGCAATTATAACTGCCAATATAATGGACTAAATTAGTCAATCAAAAGGCACAGATTTGCAGAATGGGCCAAGAAACAAAATTTACAGGTATGCTATGTGCAAGAAACACATCTAACACAAAAAAAGTTCATAGACTAAAAAAACTAAAAATGTGGAAAATAATATACTATGCAACAGGAGCCCCCAAACAAGGTAGGTCTTTTATACTCAAAGTGGACTTTAAGCCAAGGACACGATATATTGGATAATGGAGCTATTTAACAAGAAGAGATAACAATGATAAAAATATATGCACCAAACTACAGTGTACTCAACTTCATAAAACAAATGCTAGCAGATAAACATGAATATAGTTATAATGGGTGATTTCAATATACCACTATCAAAAATAGGTGAATTAAGCAAAAAATTAGCAAATATAAGAGTTGAACCAAATCTTTGAATAAACAGACTTCATAGATATCTACAGTGTTCCATCTAACAACAGAATACACATTCTTTTTAGCAGTACACGATACTTTCTCCAACATAGACCACATAATAGCGAATAAAACACGAGGTAAATTCAAAACAATTGAAATTTTACCACACATAGTATCAGATTACAGTGCAGTGAAACTAGAAATCAACAGCAAAGGAAACCACAGAAACAATTCAAAGGTCTGGTAACTAAAGCATACACTCTTAAACAAGCAATGGGTCACAGAATAAATTGGAAGAGATAGGACAATTCTTACAATTAGATGATAAAGCAAGTACAACATTACCAGACCCTACACGACACAATGAAAACACTTCTACTAGGGAACTTTACAGCTCCATCAACAATCAATGAAACGAAAAGCTGCTTCTTCAAAAAAATTTAATAAAATAGATAAATCCATTGCCAACCATACCAAATTTAAAAAGAAAGAAAAGGGCCGGGGTTTTAGCTCAGTGGTTCCAACACCTGCCTCACAAGCACAAGGACCAGAGCTCGATCCCCAGTACCAAAAAACAAAACAAAACAAACAAACAAACAAAAATGAAAGAAAGAAAAGACAAAATTCATGGAATTTGAAATAAAAAAGATGAAATCTCAGTGGACATTGTTGAAATCCAGAAAATTCTTACTATTTCACAAACCTATGTGCCAAAAAATGGAGAACTCAGATATATATATACTGAACCTAGAAGACTAAAAATATTGAATAACTCAGTAACAGGCAGTGAAACTGAAGCAGTTATTTAAAAAAAAATACTATCAAGTAAAAAGAGTCCAGAACCTTATAGAGTCACAGCCAAATTCTATTAAAGCTTCAAAAAAGATCCAACGCTAATGCTCTCAAACTCTTCATGAAATTGAGAAGGAAGTTAAATCATTCCAAAATCACTCTTAGAAGTTAACATTATCCTGATCTCCAAATCAGACAAAGATCCAGCCAGAAAAAAGAGAACTACAGGCCAATCTATTTAATGAACATAGATGCAGAAAGTCTTATCAAGAATAGTGACACACAGAATGCAACAAATCCTTGAAAAGATCATACACCGAGACTGAGTAGACATCATCCCGGGGATGTAAAGATGGTTCCACATACACAAATCAATAAATATAATTTATCACATAAAGAGAAGCATGGACAAAAAAATGCATGATAATCTTAATAGATTCATAAAAAGCTTTCAATAAAATCCAATATCTATCCCTGATAAAACAACTGCAGAAAATAAATATAGAAGGAACTTATCTCAGTCTGATAAAAACCATTTATGAAAATAGCCAATACCAACATCATATTAAATGGGAAAATACTGAAAGTCTTTCCTCTAAAATCAGGAACAATTCAAGGATGTGCATTATCACCACTACCATTCCATCTAATCCCTGAAATATTAGCCAGAGCATATCAGGTGAGAGAGAGAAATAAAAGGGATGAATACATATAGGAAAGAACAAAGTCAAAATATCATTATTTGCAGATGCTACAATTCTTCACTTACAAGAACCAAGAAACTTCACAAAAGGACTCCTAAAACTGATAACCAAATTCAGCAATGTAGCAGGATACAAAATAAACACACTACAAAATAAGTAACTATACAGTAATAATAAACTCACTGAAAAGGAAACCAGGAAAACATTCACAATAGCATGAAAAAAGCAAAACAAGTAAATAAATACTTCAATATTGACCTACCCAAGGAAACAAAGGGCCTCTATAGTGAAAATTACATCAATCTGAAAAAGGAAATTGAGGAAGATGTCAGAAAATAGAAATATATTCCCTGGACATATAGAACCAAAATATAAAAATGGCCACATTTTAAAACTGATATACAGATTTAATGCAATCCCCCAGGGAAAATTACAACAGCATTTCTCACATTTCTAGAGAAAACAAGCTTAAAATTCATATGGAACCAGAAGAGTCCAAGGGCAGGAAAAACACTCATAACTAACAAAAGCAAAGCAGAAGGCATCACAATTCCTCGTTTCAAGTCATACTGCAAAGTGACTATGATTAAAATAACACGGTACTGACACAAAAACAGGAACATGGTTCAATGAAACACAACAGAGTAAGCAGAATTGACCCCAGCTACATTCATCTACTTGATCTGGGCCAAAGGGGCCAAAGACATACACTGGAGGAAGGATAGCCTCTTTAATAAGTGGTGCTGTGGAAACTGGATATCCACATGAAGAAGAGGGAGGATAGACCCATACACCTCATAATGTTCTAAACCTAAATTAAAATAGATTAAAGTTACAAATGCTAAAACAGAAAAACTCAAGCTGCCAGAAGGTAAATGTGGAAACACTCTTGAAAACATAGGTTTAGGTAAAGACTTTCTAACCATAACCCCATTGCACAAGAAATAATACCAAGAATCAACAGTTGTGATCAAATCAAGATAAAAGTCTTCGGCACAGCAAAGAAAACAGCTAACAAAGTGAAGAGACAACCAAGAGACAGCCCTTCCTCAGAGAGAGGACTAATATCTAGAATATATAAAGAATTTTAAAAAATGACCCTCCAAAATAAAAGACCCAATTAAAAGTGGGAAACAGAAATAATAGATACTTCTCAGAGGAGGTACAAATGCCAATAAATGCAAGCAAAAATGTTCAAAATCACCAGTAGTGACAGAAATGCAAATTTAATCTATTGCTTATCCTAGAGAAAAATGACTATCATCAAAAAGTCAAATAACAAATGCTGGTGAGATTTTGGGGGAAAAGGCAGTCTCTTATATCATTCATGGGAATGTAAACTGTGCAAGCACTATGGAAATCAGCGTGGAGTTTCCTCAAAGAGCTAAAAATCAAAATTCCATTTGACTTAGCTATCCATCTTCTAAATATCTTTACAGAAGTAACTCTATTGCAGAGATACCTGTGTACGTATGTTTATAGCAGCACATTTTATGATAGTTAGATCTTTGAAACAGCATAGATGTCCACAAACAGATGACTGTGTAAAGGAAATGTATGTACACAATGGACTACTATGCTGCCATAAAGAAAGATGAATCATTTGTAAGCAAGTGGATGCAATTTGAGAATATAATGTTAAGTAAAATAGGTCAGATACACAAACTTAAATATTGTATGGTTTGTCTCATATGAGAATTTCTCTCTCTGTATATATAATATATATATATATATATATATTACAAAATATTTTAAGACATACGTTAATTTGTTTCATTTGTACTATTTCCATTTTCCCCATGAAAGTTTTTTCTGTTTTGTTTTCTTTGTTTCTTCTTTGTAAGAAAGAGTTATTTATTTATTTATTTATTTGTTTGGGTCCATGATATACTGTAACATTTTGGCCATTCTTTTAAGATCGTGATACACAGTGTATTAGTTATGTTCATTGTCTTATTATTTTGCTATTATTATGAAGTCATGTTTTATTTTTTCATGGAAATAACAATGCTTTTTTATGGGGATCAAACTCAGGACCTTGCACTTGCAAGGCAGGCACAGTGCCACTGAGCTAAAGCCAACAATGCTTTTTATATTTTCTTTATTAATATCTTCTTGTATTACATTAAAAAAAAAAAAGAAAGTACTAGGAAGGGCTGGCAGGCTGTGGCTTTTTTGGTTCCCCTACATAAACAGAATCCTCCCTCCAGTCTGTTCCCTGGGATAATCTTTGAGAAAATCCTGCAATGTTCCCAATTAAATATGGAGACAGCCCCCGCCCCCCGCCCGCCATCAGCTCCCACAGAAGGTCTCTGGAAAAGTGCAGACAAACACAACAGCCCTCCTTCATTGATTTTATTTTCATTTTTTATTGAAAGCTTCATCAAAGAAAACAGAAATTTAAACCTAAGATCCACTGATCTACAGAAAGCCCAAGAAATAAGGGAAATGATATCTAATTTGACTGTGGTACAGATGAAAAGAATTTAAAATAAAACTAGAAACACCATAGAATTACAGAACTTTTCATGACAGAGACAGCGATACAAAAATGCTTTGAAATAAAGTTTAAAATTGAGTGATGTTTCAGAAGTTCCAAGGAGTATGGCCTGAAATAAGGGTTTTGAAAGAAGCTGTGTCCCATTTTTCTTAGAAACTCAGTATCTCATAACAAGTACTTTTACACATATTTTTAAAAAATTAAGATCCCAAATATATTTTTAAATAAACAGAAGCATTTATTTGCAGAATGGGGAATTTGTTTTTCAAGTATCTCTTTGAAATAGATTTTACAGTTTCTGAAAGGTATGAAATAATTTCTGTTTTTATATATGATGAAATAACACAATTTGGGGAGGAGGACAGAGCATCTCTTTTAAAAAATCTAAGACCAGAGGATTTAAATACAAAGTATAACACTGCTATACTTTGAATTTATTCAAAATGTGATTAAAATAATTTCCACTGCAGTGTCAAAGTCATTCAGCCTCGATACAGTAACACAGTCAAAATACAACAAAAATAATGCACTTTTTTTCATCAAACTGAAAGGAACGAGTGTACATTTAACGGAGAGCTACTATTATATTCTCATAACAGAAACTGTGTTTATTTTTTCAGTTGGTTTAACTTTCAGTAGAGTGAATGAAAGCAAAACAACTTTCTTCTAAGGGAAGCCCAATCCAGGCCACAGTATTTTTTCCTTTATATTCTGCAAGAATACAGCCAACTCTCAATTATTTGCAGTGTATGATAAAAGGTTATTATGGATCATCAAAATTCGGTGTCTATAATTCACTGACATGAATGTTCTTAATGACTTCAAACTCTTTCAATAACTCAATCCTTAGGAAATAATAGACTAATTTGAATTTTATTTCCAATTATTTATTCCTCCACCCTCAGGGTGAAGTACTAATGAACGGGAGCAGTGCCTAAGGCCTAATTCTTGAGAAGAAAAGAAAAACAGATATACAAAATAGAAAATTAGCCCTTCAGAAATTGAGAGTGATAGTATTACTGCAAAACTCAGAAATGGGACAGTTTTAGGAAAACCTCAGCTGTGATTCAGTGGCCTTGTGTTTCTTTCCCAAGAATCTAAGTTCAATTCCATAAGCTTCCTGTGCAGAAGAAACATTTCTTGATGCATTATTTTCCCACCCCGAGATACACAGAGATGAATATTGAGAGTTCACCTATCTTGTTTGATCTTTCTTTTGTTGTTATTGTTGTTGTTTTTATGATAGCATCTATATGCTGGGGTCAAAATCAAACATAAAAGAAATCATTTCTCTAGAACTCCTCATTTTGTAAAAGATCTTTGGGGCCACTTGGGGATTTAGGATTGAGCTTTAGTATTTTTCTGAACATAATGCACAAAAAACAGCCAAGACTAAGAATGTTTAGACTAAGGGACCAATGTCATCTTTTAAATGTTTGGTAAATGTTACTCTTGAGTCATAACCGACTGTCTTCCAATGCCATAGTGGATACTATTTATTTGTAGAACAAATGTATTCGTTATTAAAGTCGCATTACAACACTACTACAGAAAAGGTGTAGGGTATAGAATCCATGAGCCTGTTTAAATGTTGTCAGTCCCTCAGATTAAAGTGAGAAGCTGTCAGTCCCAGTGAACTCACAACTGGGAAGCATGCCAGCCACAACAGCATGAAAAGTAAAATCCCATCCTTTACTGCTGATCCAGGTTAAAGAGAATAGATCAAGATTCAATGACTTGCCATACTGTATTGCAGTGTGTGATTCCTCAAGTGTGCTGAATGTTATTATACATATACATAAATGTTATCCCTTTATTCAATTTAATATCACATAAAAACAGTTATCACTAAAACACTTAGGACTTTCTCTCTGCATATCAGCTCATCAGCAGTGGGTTCACACACTCAAATTAGGAGTGAAACTGAATTGTCAAATGTATTTTAATCTATTAACATCATCAGTCTAGACAGCCCATTGAAACTTCAATCACGGAGAAGACTGCAAGAGTCCTATTTAAATCAAATTCCACTTTTCATTAAGGAGGGTTTTAGGCTATTGTAAATGTTACATAGCTATAGAAGAAACATCCCAATTATTTACATGTTTTTTTAAAAAAAAAAAACAGCACGTTTTTTGATTGTACATGAACTGAAAATAATTTTTAAAGCAGTTTTGTGATGGGGTCAATGTATTTTGTTGCCATAGTGAAATAGTGTGAATTTCCCACTCCATTCAGCCTTCTTCAGCTCTTAGCCTTCCATCTCTAACGAGAGCATGAGCACACGTTTAATGTCAGGTTATTTGGCATTAGAAAATATGAAAGGGAGTCATATTCTTTCAATGATGGAAAATCTGCTGAAGTTACAAGAAGAATTAATTTAAGTAAAGCTAGGAGACAATATACTGAATTGTTGAAATTTACCAAGGAAACAAACTATTCATGGCCAACTCTGAGCTAGGTAGAAAAGTTTCTCTAGAACATTGTTTCAGTTGCTATATACAAGATACATCAGCATTCAAAGACAAATTGTCATCAGCCTGTGCCACTATTACCTTTAGTTCACAGAGTCTGCATTTTGTTGACCTTCCAAGATTTAGCTCTTCATTTGGATCTCCAATTTCAATATATACTTTACCTCCCCTGTCCATACCTTCTTATTGCTAAAATGATTTGCCTTTCATATCTGATCTTCCACTGACCACATGACTAGAGTTTGCATGAGAAGGTGTTTATCTCATTTGGATTGTGGTGTTAGTCTTTTTCCGAATGTGCAGGATAAGTCTTGGCAATTAAAGTAAAAAGGAAAAAATGAAACATATAAATAAATGTTTGATAAATCAGAATTTAAAGAAAATTAACTTAATCTAAAAGGGATTATCATCCTAAATAAGATTAAAAACATACAGTATGCATCGTTGACCAAATTTGGATTTGAAATCTGTGTATTTTGAACACATACTTTAGTTTGTTTTATGTTTCATACAACATAATGCTGCTTACCTTTTGATATTCCCTCCCCCATCCCCAAGACTGGATTCTTGAAAAACAATTCTTAGGTAAAATGAAAGGGGGGGGGCTTGGACATATGCATTTTTTATCTTTTTGTTTCTTTTTGGTTTGAAATAATATGTTTTATAGAATGGCATGATAAAAACAATGCGAACACAAAATACACATGGGTACATAAAATGACAGGGAGAATAATTTCCTGAGACTACTAAAATTTTATAGTTGAAAAAAAAAGTATCTGAAGGTATAAATAAAGCGGCAGTTTTGAATAGAAACAGGAAATTACCTAGGCACATTCATCAGCCACATGTTAGCTACCTTTTAGCCTCATTACTGATTATGTAAATGAGACTTTCTTTGTATCACATTAATATATGTTTTTGGTATTTTTTGTTACAGAAACAAAGGAATGGATGTTCGTTTTATATTCAAATGAATTGTGCCCAGGATAATTTTATTTATATAAAGAATTCAGAGTGTGGAAAAGAGAAACAGAAAATACAGGTCCCATATATGTTTTTTGTACCCCTGTAATGCGAGGAGCCCACTTTCAAAGACAGTATCACCACTGTAATACACGGGAAGCTGAAGGATGCAGTGGAAAAATGTTTAAATCTATGATTCTTTCTAAAGAAAACTATCAGGATGGGTGCGAGCAGCTGAATTTCTGTGTACCACATGCCACATTTTGTTGATATATTTTGCCAGTGGTTAGACTACAAAGTTGTGCAGTCACTCTGGGTTTGAGCTTCCAATTCATGGGCTTGCAAATAAGAGAACCAGGATCTATTTAAATAGTGGGTTATTTGCAATTTCATTGAGTCAAACTCCTTATTCATACTGCCCTAATGAAAATATGATTTACCTTTTATATTTTTTAGTTTTTAAAAGCCTACCCTGTTTTCTTTCATAGTGCACTTAATACCTTTACTTCTTCCGTCGGGACTAAGTCAAGTTCCTGTGACTTACTTAGTTTGTGAAAAAGAGTTTCATTTTTGTGATTCAAATAATTTGACCACAGTGTACTCATAGTGAGTAGTTCCATTAACACAATTCTGTTTCATTTTCATCAATTTTAGGTTAAACTGTATAGGTTGAATGTTGACTTGATGAATCAAAATGTAAAGGTGTTTTCTACGTAAGTCAATTTAATAATTTTAGATAAAATTTTGCATAACTATATACAAATATCTCCTTTGGCTTCAATGATTTATCAAATCTAGTTCTTTTGGTACTTACTGAAATAAATTATAGAATTTCTTGATTGTCAACTAGCATTTTAAGAGCTTCCCTAAATTTCAGTGTGAGAATCCTCAATATTATTGGTACTTCTTGCCTCAGAAAATTAAACTGAAATAAAAAAAGTATCTTTACTTTCTTTCTGGCAAGACCAAGATAAGAAAATACCATGAAAAGAGACAAAAAGAAAATACCCGCTCCCCGATTGCAGAGTCAAGGTGGCCATTCATGGTGAATGATGGCAGGACCAAGGTGGGAAGAAGAAACCAGGTGGTGTTGGAATTTAGAAGGAAGATGGTTGTTAGAAATACCATGAGATCTTTGTAGGAGACCACTCACCATTTCACACAATACCACTAAGCTTTCCTGACAAATGACATTTCAGAGACTTTTCAGGCCATGTTCAGGAAGTATCTTTAGTTCAAAATCCACAGAAAGAAAAATCCACTCTTAAACAAATGTCTGGCTTATTGGTGGCCATCAACACAGGTATCATATTGAAGAGAACTAGCAAGGAACCAGAAAAGCTCACAAAATTAAAAGCCTCTTGGCTCTATTAATTGGTATCCAGAACTCTTTGTGCTGGGATTGCTGAACACAGCCCTTGTGAGCTTCTACTATCAACAAATCTACATTAAAAAAATTTTGTGTGTGTGTGTCTGTGTGTGTGTGTGTGTGTGTGTGTGTGTGGTATGTAAAACACCAGTGGAAGGTAGTTTAAACAAACAACAAAGAACTGGTCCGGCCATTGTAGGTCAAATAAAATTTTAAAGAAAAGAAAAGAAACAAAAAAAAACCTCTATCTTCTGTACTGTAATAGGGTGTCACTTCATCTTTGGTATAAAATAGGCCATCCATAGGCTGAATTTGATCACAACTAGGAAAGACTACAGAAATTGTCAACAATTTCTCTATCTATTGCTTTTTTTGTTTTTTTTTTTTTGCACTTTTTGACCATAAGCTCCTATCTACTTATGTTTTTTTGTTTTGTTTTTAATGCTCTTAAGCTAAGTTTTGCAATGTGACAAGCAAAGCTGACTAAAAACTTTGTAAAGCTCATAAAAAAGACTGCAGATAAAAAGCACTAACGCTTTTGCTAGCAATCACGCTTTGTAAATAAAAAAATCTGCATTCTGCCCCCCAAACACGCATTATTTCTAATGCAGTTGTTTTTAAACCAACATTAATAACTTTACTGCAAAATGTTTTAGCCTTCTAGAATGATTTGTGTCAACACTTAAGACAAAGTTCATGAAAAGTCCCAGCATTTCCCAATTCTTGCAGTTGCCATGGTTTCTTTTATCAACAAATTTTCTTCAAATGAAGAAAAACATTTTCTTTTAAACTGTACAGTTTTTTTCACCCTAAAAACTCATAGTCTTAAACTTCTGTACCAGTTAAAGCTGGCACAATATTTCAATTCTTTCTTGAATTTTTTTTAACAAGACGTTGACAGCTTGCCTTGAGAGCCTTTGACGTCCTTAAAATTAAGGCAATTAATATTCAAGATAAACCTTACCTAAATATTTCTAAAAAATAAAAATTAAAAAAACCCACTAGGTTTAAAAAGGAAGGGAAAAAGAGAAAGAGTAGCTTAATTACCAAGGAAGACCATTTGCCTCCATTTTGGTTTGCTCATTTCTTGACATAAGATTTTCCATGTTAAAAAAAAGAAAGAAAGAAAGAAAGAAAGAAAATCTAGCTACACCTTCAGGTAAATTTTGAATTCCAATGCTCTTCCAGATATAATGTCAACCTTTAATGCCTCCCCCTCTCTTCTGGGATTTCTTTTCCTTTAAGTAAAAAAGAAAAGGGTGGCAAAAATAAACTGTCAGACCACATGAAGGAACCATTTGCACAGCACATAAAAACTTTGTTTCACTGAGTAAAATATAAAATTAAAAAAAAAAGCCTTCCATTGACGCCTGTGCAAACTGGAAGCCAACTAACTTCTTGTTCAGTGAAGTTTCTTCATTCAAGGCAAAATTTCAGAGGGACATTCTTCTGTTCTGTTTATGGTCTGTGAAAACAATGAAATAAGAGTGGTCATTACATCACAGCAGCTTTGAATCCACCTTCACGCTTTTCCAATGAAATTTCTTTAAAAGGTAGTGAGGTCTTTTGATGTAACACGCTCGTGAAACAAATTGTAAATACACATTTAATTACAAAAGAATATTTAGTCCATGAAATTGTCAAATACCGTTTTCACTAATATATTCAAGCTAGAGAGTTTGATCTCATTAAAATTAAAGTTTATAGGCCAACAGTCTCTTTTTATTCTAAAGCAATAAACTATGCAGATATACCTCACGTGTACACAGAGACATCTCTCCAGTTTTGGGCTGGATATGGCTTGAGTACATTTCCATTGGAAGCTGGTCCCCAGTACGGCAATGTGGAAAGTGAACCTTCAACATACACTGCCTAGGAGTAGGTCATTGTGGAGGCTTCCTTTGGTGGGGATTAAGGTAGTTCTCCTAGGTTCATGAACTATTTTTTTTCATGAACTAATTTTTGAGAGCAAAATTTTTGAAAGGAATAAACCTGACCCCCCCTAATCTCTGCTTCTTGTCTTATTATGTAATCCCGTAACATTGGATCCTACCATGTCATCTGCCATGGAGACTCTCACCAGTGGTCAAACAGACAAGACTGCCTAACTTTGAACTATCAGCCCCCAAACGGGTGAGCTAAATAAATGATGTTTCTTCATTATCCAGCTTCAGTTACTATAGCAATCGAAAATGAATAAATACACCTTCCTATGAGCTTAGAGCCTAGTTCTTAATACCTGATAGATGTTATTGTGCTCCCAGATACTTTGCAATTATATTTTTTTCAGAACTACCTTAGGATTCATCACTAATTCAGTCAACAAATATGTGATTCCCCCTATGCACCATAATGACTGTGACATGTCATCTTGTGGTATTGGCCCAACACATAAGATAATTGTTTCTTGTTTGTTGCTCCCATCCACATTTTAGATCCTTAGCTGGATGTGTAACATATACTTGTAGTCCTAGCACTGGGGAGGCTGAGATGAGAGGACTGTGTGAACCCAGGACTTTCAGGCAAGCCTGGGCAACATAACAAGAAACCGATCTCAAAAAAAAAAAAAATTACAACTCTTGACATCAGAGGCTATATTTTATTTCTACTTTTTCCTCTCTGGAATGTGGAAAAGTGCAATTTCCATAATAGGCAATTAAATAGATAAATATCATTTTATTGTATTTCATTTTTTTCCTGATGGGCTGGGTTAAGCAAAACCCTGAAGCCCCACCTATCTTACAGGATTAAGGTTCTAGGGGATTGAACTTTACTTTCAGCTCTTCTGCTCACAGATTAGAACTCTGTTAAATAAATTTAGTTATGTTGTGCAAAGAGGGAACTTTATCTGTAGGTCACTTTTCGATGAAGGCCTCTTCCCTCAGGGCACAGATTGATGGCAAAAGTTCTGCAGATTCTGCTGGTACCCGATTGCTTAATTTGCAAATGAAGCTCAGAGTTGCTGGATATAGGTATATATGACCAGTGGGTGAGGGAAGAAGGCTAAATTTCAGAGAAATGTCTTCTCCCAAAGCCACGAGACAGGCCTGTCTCTCCTCTGAGCAAGCGTGTTTGTTTTATTCAGATTCACAAAAGGTTCTCAGCAATGTTTTAAACTATATTATATCTGGAACTGAAGTGGTTCAGAAAGGTCTCTTTTTACTAATTTGCAGAAAATCATCATGAGTCAGCTGCGGCTATTAGGAACCTAATGCATTTGTTCCAAGAATCATGTATGGAGAGCAACAAATTGATAGGTTGACTACTTGAAATATTTACAAGTCATTTAATATCTCCAAAATTACATGGTTTTTTCCTCTTGTGTTACCTGAGAAAGTGAGATTTCTTCTAAGAAGGAATGTAACTACAATTTTTATAACAGCAACAATGATAAGGGGAATTTTATTAGTAGTAATATTTTGAACCATGGTCTATATTTTGGTCCTCTTTTTTCTGTCTTTGCACTTGTAGGCTTACTCCACTTATATCTAAAAGCTATCTTGCTATGAAAACAAAGTTTTGGTCTATTTTTGTTGTCATTTCCACTTTTCCATTGTGCACTGAACAGAAGATGCCTAAAACATCAGTTTTTCTTCATTCAATGGTCCAACCATCCTATAAAAGACCCTTTCTGCTCACGTACTTCAGAGTATTAGTGTTTATGAGTTAGGCTGGGGCTACTTTTAGGTTTCTAACCTGATATAACTGTTTCTAGTAACACTCTCCAATAATTTTTTGGGACCTTAATGTAGCCTCATTGGTGTTCCTAAACAAATGATTGTACTTTAAACAATCATGATTTCTAAGTGAAGTTTAAAGGAAAAAAGGTGTTATTTAATGCAACTAAAATTCACTTGTCTGCTTTCTCTGTACTAGATGAAGTATAATGTGCACATTTACATAGTGATTATGGATAGCACTGATATTCATAACAATGGCATTCTAAATTTTCAAGGCTGTGATCATTAGTAACAAGAACATAGGTAGAAACAATTTATGTGAAAGAGATAAGTATGAAAGTCATTTGCAAATTTTAAAGTACTCTGCAGCATGACTCACCAGTACAACTCACACATTAGCAGTACACTGGAAAAGGAATTTGGTGTTCATGGAAGTTCAGCTACCCTGATAAGATTTGAAGAATAAAAAGAAATTTTGATTCCAAGGGTAACATAATGGTCTTTTAATGTCAGAGTGAATATTTGTAGACTGCTAATTTGACTGAATCTAGGAACACAGAATCATTTTGAATTCTCTCTTCAATCTCCTCTTCAATACCAGCAGAGTGAATAGGTTGTGAAAGAGCAAACCATAATCCCAGAAATCTAGTCTTTTGGAAATCTTAAGAGAACATCTAATGATTCAGTATTTCTCAGAATAATTTCTTACAGACCAGCTTCATGAGATGCATGTGATAAGAAATTTTTTTTTTTTTTTTTTGGTTCAGAGTTTGGAAAAGGTGGTTCCTGTATTTCTACTGCTGGATTAGCCACAGGTAAACTAAAGATGTGGCTAGGGCACAATGAAGGGTACCAGTGTAGAAGAAGAATTTCTTGGAAAAGAATAAAATATATGACATTAACATCAAAAGAACTAACAGATAATACATTATTAACTGTATTTCTACTGCTGGATTAGCCACAGGTAAACTAAAGATGTGGCTAGGGCACAATGAAGGGTACCAGTGTAGAAGAAGAATTTCTTGGAAAAGAATAAAATATTTGACATTAACATCAAAAGAACTAACAGATAATACATTATTATACATTTGCAATAATTCAGTTTTTAATATCTTGGAATTTCGCATCAGGAAGGCAGCATAGCCTATTCTGTCAAGAGGTAAAACACTTGAAATATTTATTTGGCCCCTAGGAGGTCAACTATATTATTAGCATATTTTACGCTATCTTAATGACTTTGAAGAGAACTGCAGTTAAGGCAAAAATGTCTTTTGGGTTACAGCAGGGTATTCCAACCCACTTGGGTGAGGAAGCGCTGCAGGGACTTTCTAACCCTAACTCCAGAGCATGGTGATAAATTTGTCCTTACACTAGAGTCTTGCTCATATCTTTGGAGAATAACACTCTAATCCTCACACTTTAAATGAAGAGGAAAATCAGGTTCCAGAGAAGTGATTGATAACCGAAGTCACAAAGCTAGAATAAGAATAGTTGTGCATATTAGATTTTAGCTCTGTTTGAAGACATTCTCTTTAGATTCTAGTTATGTTTAAGGCTGCCCTGCACAAAGAAAAACAGATAATGGAAATGGGAAGTGAAATTTCCGTAAAGTTTCCAAGGTAAAGCATAGCTATCATTGCTGCCTTCTGTGATAAGAGCACAGAGTCCCTTTTACATTAATAGCTCCTTTTAATAATGGGGGGGGACTCTATAAATACAAAATCTGAAGTACTGTGGTTTAGCTAGGCAAGTTTACTGATAAATCCCAAATATAGCCTCTTTATTCATAGGAAAATCATTTATATTCTGCAAGCTTTTCTCTGGTTCTGATTGCAAGCTTTTCTCTGGTTCTGATTGCTCTGGTCTTTTACTTACAATACCTTTAGTGTAGACATTTTGGTGTTGAAGGTATATTGTGATGACTCAAGCTACTTTTCAGGGGCATTCAGTTGCCCTTATCAGAATTTCATACCCATAGCAGGTCAGCTAGCATTTAATGAGAAAGGCCAGAGGTCTGTACAAAGTACTTTAAGCTATCCATATCTCAATTAGCATAATGATTGTTAGAAATGGGTTGCCTGATGAAAGTAGTGGCATGTTAATTAGCATAATGATGTTGGAAATGAGCTGCCATTTGTGAAATCTGGCATGTTTAAGATAATGAGGATTGGCTAAATAATTTTCGAGATACTTTCCAATATACTAGAACAGGAAGGAATGAAAAAGGATTTAGGGAAATCTATAGTAGACAATAACTAGCTGTAGAATGTTGCTTGAGGCTTGATCTCAAAACAAAATTGTGATGGAGTAGATTTTCTTCCAAGGATAATATAGTCCAATATCTAGACAATGGACAAATGTAAGCAGAGTGAATTTTTCAAGTAAGGTATGATCAAATAGCTTTAAAAAGCAGAGCAAGGACTTTTTAAAGTGCACTCATTAACTTGTATAAGTAGTTATAGGCCTGCCTTCTAAGGAATGCTTGTTTGATACCTGTCACTGTGAGCCATTTTATATCCCTCAAACTTTCCCTGTGAAAGTTACTGATGAAAAAGAGCTCAGTGTGCATGATGTAAACTTCGACTTCAGTTCCCAGTGTCTTCCTTGACTAGTTCTGAAGAATCTCATGTTTTACCATGACATAGGTCAGATTTGCTTGGCTGAAATTGACAAAATTAATAGTCACATTAATTCTTTCTTATAAAATTTCAGAAGTGACTGCTATCTTCATATGTGTTTGTCTTGGTATTTCAATTCTTTTTCATTTGGTCTTTTGTTGGTGTTTCAAGTCAAAGGCTCCTAACACTTTTTGCATTTTAGAGAGGTGAAGCTAAGAATACAATAAAGACCCACTGATTTTTAAAATCAGTTTAAAGGAATCTCTCCAAGGCAATGCAAGTGGTTTTCACATGCCATACTTTTGAAATGTTCCATTTTCCAAGGTGATTTCTTCTCTGGCTGTTTCAGTAAGGAGTATGACCTGAGCAACATCCTGTAATATACAGTCCTTTATGGGTACAAAAGACTATTTCTTCAAACAACGAAATCCTCCTCATCATTTTTGCCACCAGGAGGACATGGATGCATGATTTCATTCTGGATATGCATTATCCTATGAAACTTAAGTATCACCAATCATAATAATCCATGACTCAATGCAAATGTGGTATAACCATAATTTTAAAAACATTCAAACAGTGAAAGTTGTATGTTGTCAGACTCAGACGTCTTCAAATATTTCAAAGAGTAAAGTTTGGAATTGATTTACCATAAGGATAATTAAATTTCTTGGGCATCTCTATAGCCAGACCCTCTGGGGGCATTTTATCTTATCTGCCTTTGTTATTGGTATCAATGACTCCCTTGGTTTCTCTGGAACTGTAAAATTGTTTTCCTGTTTTTCAATATATTCTCCACTGTATCTTCCTAACACCACTATTCATCATACTTCAGACCTTCTGTCATTCCTGCCTGAACCAGAGAAGTAACAGACTGTTGATTTCCATTGCTTCCAAATTTGTCGTTTACCTCAATTGGAAGAACACACATTTAAAAAAAAAAAAGAAAATGCTATCCATGCACTTCAGTGTGGCACCTGATATTAGAATCTGGGTGTCCCTTTCCATGGTATCCTACTACTCTCCTTCCACTTTTCAAGGAAATACTTCCTTCTCTACCCCTGGACTTGGATCAAGCTTTGACACCATCTGGAGTGTTGCTACTTCCTGCAAGATCTTGCTCCGATTGCCATGACCTCCACCAAAGCATACAAATCCAGAAGAAACAAAATGCATTCTGCTATTACTATGGCCCGCTGTGAGTGTTTTCCATTTTCTTCCTTCAAGTATGAATATCTTGAGTATGGGTAGAACTGAATGAATCCCACCCGAGATTGTTAAGCCTCAAGGAGGTTAACACCTCCTGGTATAGGAACTGGTGTGACACTGGTAAAGAGAACTAGGACCTGGACTTGGAGCTAAGAATCTGTTAGAGGCTGAGGTGCTCTGTGTGAGCCTGACATAACTCCTGTCCTACCACATCACACTTAGATCGTGAAAGGTACTTCACCCCTAAGTGGGGACATCCTTGAGAAGGAAGAGAATGTTTCTTGTGGGATGACAAGGAGGAACGACTGCAGCTCAGTTCATCAGGAGGGGTGGGGCAGAGGTTTTATATAGTTGCAAGATGGGGAAACTGTGCGTCTCAAAGAAAAAAAATCCTTGAAACACTCCCCTCTAAATTCAGGCTGCACTGGTGGGAGAATCGTTTATATGTAAATCAAATTACGCAATTTATTTTTAAAAGCCCTACACTGGTTTCTGATCTCACTTTGAATATAACCAAGTATAATCACCCTATAGAAAATTAAGTAACTATAGGCTTAATAATGGTTGGCCTCTTCGCCTCCATCTCCTCCCGTTCTCCCCTCTATTCCACAAAACTCCAGCCTTATGTTCCCTCTTCAGTGCTTCTAAAAAGCGCATTTCCTCTGCTTAGAATGCTTTGTCTCCAATCTTTCAGTTTCCAGGCATAAAAGAGCCCTTCTCTGATGCCAAATTCTAGGAGTTTAACTCATCACCTCAGAAAGAAAATTTTTGAATAATGTGCTTTGCAATTCTATTTCTTTTTTTATTGCTTTTTTCTTAATTGATCCATTGCATATAAGTCTATTCCTATTAAAAAGTAAAGTCCAAGGGATGACTGGGAGAGAAATATGCTTATTTCTTTGATCTTCTCCTAGAACCTAGAATGCTGGCTAACTGTAGGTGATCAATACAAAATTGTTGGTTGGGTGAATGAAAACATTGTTTTCAACTACCTAATAAATTATTTAACCGTGCACAAGAAAGTTCTAGGAAATAAAATCTCTCTTTTATTCACTATGCTTTGGGAGATGCAAGGCCAGTTTCACCTCCTTTTGAGCCTGGCGAAGTGCGCTTGGCAAACTGTGTAGCAGTCACAGTCTTCTAGCAAAACAGACCAAAAGATAAATATAGCACTCTGGAGGCTCACACAGGAGGATCACAAGTTTGAACTCAATATTGGTGACTTATCAAGACCTTTGTCTCAAAGTAGATAATAAAATAAAAAATAAAAAGAGCTGGGGATGTAGCTTGGTGTAAAGGCCCTGTGTTCAATCCCCAGTACTACAAAAAAAAATGGATAAATATAATAAATACAGAAACAAAGAAGGAAGGGAGAGATGTACGTGCTAGCAAACTGGCAGCTCCAAAGAGCCAATGTTACAGTCTCAGGCTCAGACTGAAAGTGGAACAGAAAAGCTGACAGTGTAAATGCCAGTCCCCAACATCCAACTTAGAGACAATGTTTCATTTGAGTCCAAAGGCAGAAAAAGCAGTGTTGCAGCTCAAGAATTCAGGCAGATGTCCCTTTTACTCCAGGGAGGATCAATCTTTTTGTTCTGTTCATGCCTTCAACTCAATGGATGGGGGCCACCCCTACATTAAGGAATGTGATCTGCTTTACTCAATCTACTGATTCAAATTTTAATCTCCTCCCCAATCACCTTCACGGACATACCCAGAATAATGCTTCAGCAAATTGACACATAAAATCAATCAGCATACATAGTGTCTCTCATTTCTTTCCACCAGTGTCTCTCACTCTGCTTCTCCACAGACCATTCGGGTTCCTTTTTCCCACATATTAACCCACTGACCAGGCTGAGCAAATTCCAATATGCTTGTACCAGAGTTTTAAGAGATGAACATGTTGTTTATTGCATGAAAAGTTATTCATAGAGGCTGTAGGCCAGCTGAAACAATGACAACAGCCCGCTTTACTCAGTAACAAGATTTTTGAAAATTTTTATTGATAACAACAGTAATACTTTATGTTTGTATGATTAACCGGTGTTCTGAGAAATTTAATTTTTACAGCTGCATTTAGAGACTGTGCTGCACTCAGAAGATTCCACTGCCTCAATTAATCCAACAGTAAGCAAATCTCATGTGTATGGAGGATAGAGGGACAAAACTTCTCTTCTTGAGAAATTTCAGTCTGGCTATCTTTAGCTCCCTTCTTGACTACACCTAGACCTTGAATCCATCCTTGCCTGGTCTACATAGTTTATTTTTACCAAGGAGCTTCGAAATCAATTTAGATGGAATCCCAACCCTTGATATTTGACCAGCCTCAATTATCTGATCAATTTCATCATCTCCCACATTTAATTCATCAGTTCTTTATCTGCTTTCAGTAAGAATACTGTTAAGTCAGTTTAGTAATAATTCCCTACCCTGCTGTCTCCTCTTAGTACTTCTTCATTTGCGGACCCTTTCTCTCTGTTGATTGGCTATCCATCTCCAGATGTCTTTGTTGTATTCTGAGTTGAGCCCTGATCTCTCCCCTCTAATGTGACAGTCTTAACACATATTGAAATTATCCTGAACGAAATCTTCTTCTTTTCGGATGTGTCTGAATAACATTTTTCTTTAACAAACAAAATGATGACACAGAAATGAAGGAACATTCTTCAGAGAGGATCATCTGGGAATTCATTGTTCTCCAAGGGCTTGACTGTTATCTATAAAGTTGGATTATGTGCATGCCAACGCCTTTGCCTGTAGACTTTTCTGTTGCTAATTCCCTTGGTTTAGCAAAAACGACCTCACATTTGTGTCTCTGTATTCTCTAAGTACAAAGTCAAATGTAATTTGCTTTATGAATGATTTAAGAACCATCAAGAGTAACTGACTACTTCATTTTGCCATGTAATGCCTGAGTAAGAATCTATTCTGTTGTACATTGCCCAATATCCTTTTCACAAACATTTAATTGGATGTTCGAAGGACTCTTGCAAAGGGTGTATCACTTTTTTCATTTTTAACAGTGAAGACAAAATTAAGCTTCACCCTACACTTTCATATGAGAATACTTCAATTTTTCCAAGAATATATGATGTTATTATTATTTTCCATAAAAATGATTATGATGAGTCTCTTTAGCAACAAATATCTACAACTACTCTGGCCATACGACTTGCTTTAGCTAATGAGGCAACAGCTGAAGAGTGACAAAAAGAACTGAAGAATGACACTGTCTTTGGGCTTGCTGTTTTGCTATCCTTGGAATCCCGACAATTCCCTGTAAAGTAGTTTTCTGGATAAGCAAAAACAGGTGGCCCAGTCACTTTCATCACCTATCCAACAGCCAGCCACTGCCCTAGAACAGAGTCACATGCTTTGCCTTCACTCAAGATCAGAAGAGACACCCACCTGAAGTAAGCCCAAACCAGCCATGTAATTATGAGCTAAATATATACTTTTCACTAAGTTTAGATTATTTGCCACATAAAATAACAGATACACCTTGAGTAATTTCAAGATAGTTGATCTTGAAAAAGAGCTTAGCATAGCCCAAACTTACTTAGATTGTTGGTAAGAATATGCAGGTGCATGTTCATTGGATGTGTCCACTGCTATCTGTTGCTGCTGACCACTGGTGTCCTGGGATGAAGGTGCCACTGACTGGGGAGAGGTATCGGCAACAACACCCTAAGGAGGCAAATAAGTACACAAAAGCCTTATGTGCTTAAAGCAAAGGGTCCTCATCTAGATGCAGAAATACCCCTGTATTTGGCTTGAGAAGACATGCTATCAACTATGTGAAGTCACAATATGCACTCAAAAGAAAACATCAGTGCATATCTTAGTGTGGGTTGAGAAAGTCATCTTGATGCAATGCCAATAAGCTGAGCAACCAAAGAAGTTTTTGGAGTAGATAAAAGATCAGAAAATCATTTTAACTATACTTGCAACTTTCGAATGGTGGTTGCATAAATCATATTAAGTAACAATTAGTAAAAAATCATTCATGATTCCTATCAATATTAGTATATTGAAACAAGCTGATGGGGTGGTTCACTATAGCATGTCTAGAACATGTTTGCTAATATGGACTCTGGCCTTAATAAAAAAAAAACACTAAGATTAGAAGTTTTTATAAAGGGTAGTGTTGAATAGGTTCTGTTCGATAATTTGATTTATTTTACTTTGCTTTGTTTTCTAAGACATGAACTGGAATTTATTTAGTGGTCTTAATTTTGGTGGTTCTTAATTTTGGTTTGCCTTTCTTTCAAAACTGTCTCCTAATTTTCACTTCTCACAGAAGCTAGCAGAACAGATTTCTGGCATTGTTCATTATCAGGGACACGTGTTTGATTCCAAGGGAGCTACAGGTAGTTTGATCTGATCATTAATACACTCAAAAAGGGCAACAGTGTTGGGTATCTGCAATGATGTTGAGTTGTAAATATTCTTGGTCAGTTCTCTGTCCTTAAAAATATGTGAAATTCTTCCTTAGAATCTGAAAAGTCTACCTGTAGTCAGTCATCCATTGTTTTCTTTCTTAAAGGGTTACTAATCTGTATTTTTCTGAATATCCTACCAGGACTTATTTGTGTGGATACAGGTGAATGATCAATGTTTCTAGATGGACAATGAATCAATTTTTTTCTATAAATCTAAATTCAATGCATATATCAGACTATATTTACATTTTTCTCAGTGAAATTCTTCTTTCTAAACTTTGCATTTAACTAAGGCACAAGACCAAATGTGTCATTATTTTATAAGCATTAAAATGCTCTAATTCTTTAAATAGCAATATCCCTTTGATGTAGACACACAGGAATGCAAATACATGGCAGAAATTTATACTTTGCCTGGAAAGTCCAGACACTGGTTTCTCAGTGTGTAGGTGATTTTTTGATAAACATAACCAAAAACATAAAATTTAATCACATATTCTTAAAATTCTGAAGATACAATTAAATTTTGAGATCCATACATCTAAAACACACACAAAGATTAAAAAATCCATGTCCTTGTTTACCTTTTAAACATCTGGGATTTCTTCTATACCTTGATACAAGCAAGTACTTGCTACCCGCAAAAAACAAACTTTTAAAAAAATCCAATCTGGTCTGTAAAGTTTTCTGTCAGTCTCTTTATTGGTGGATTTTTGTGTGCAGGGGTGCAAATACACTATATGCTGGACAAATTATGGAGTAGCAAAGAGATTAATTCTGAAAGATTTTCAGGTGGTGAGAAGAGATGCACTGTAACCATAATGCACATGTGCATTGGAAAAAGTGGAGGGGGAACAATAAAAAACAATGTGTAGAACCAGAGAGGAAAATACACGTCTAAATGTTTTATCACTCTCTGCACAGCTTTAGGCTTTCTGCTTTTCTATGTAGCTTGAGGCTCTGTTCAGTAAAATGAGAATTAGAGGAGATTGATTCAGCCCAATACAAAAAGAGAAGGAAATGGAAAAGGCTTTCATTAAGAGCAAGATGGTACCATTATCATTATTCATTAGGTCCACAGTGATAAAAGTGATCCAACTCTTTCCCATCTGTAGGAAGTATAAATCTGTGAAAGCTCATTTAGTATAGCAGAGTTTCTGTTGTTGTTCTTTGTTTTTGTTTTGTTGCACAGGAGATTGAATTCAGGGCCTCATGCATGCTAGATAAGCACTGCATCGTGCGAGGAGTTACACTATTTATCAGAGCAGTGGTTTTTAATCTTTGCTGTACATCAGAATCACCTGAAACCTTTTTTAAAACTGGATGTCTAGTACATACTCCAGATAATTCAATAAGAATCTCTGGGGATAGTGTTTCCCTAAATAAGTTTAATGTGTGGAAAAGTTTGAGAACTAGTAAACTAGTACAGTGTATCTCACATTTTAATGTGCATCTGGGTCACACTGAGATCAGCTTAAAATGAAAATTAAAATTCATCAGGTCTCAGTAGGGTCTTCTAGTTTGTGTTTTTAACAGATTCCAGGGTGTCCCAATGAAGCTGGTCAAGGACCTGTCTTTGAGAAAAAAGACACTGAAGATCTAGCTCATCCAAATGGCTTCAGACTGCTTTTCCATCCCTTTTATGAGTATTTATGGTTATGACTTCGAAGAACAATGATTTGTTCGCAGGACTTTAAATGTGCAAAGTGTCCTTCCCTCATATTTCTGCATCAGGTTAATTTACTTCACGTGAGAACCAAAACAAAGGCAGGATAGAGTAAATATACATATTTTCATAGACTGAGCTTGTGACTGACCACAAATTTTAGAGCAGCACACAATCTGGACATGAGGATTTCTTGGGTTCTAAGGTACCACAGTACATATGACTGCGATTCCTTCTCCCTAGTCTCTTTCTACAGGACAGGGATGGACTTACTTCAATAGATACAGCTGCTGGAGGCACAGGCGTGTACTGGGGAATGTAGGTCCCTTGCATAGGAGCAGCAGCAGTCATATACTAGAGGGAATCAAAGAAAAAGGCATGTAAACTTGGGATTGCAACCACAGAGAACACTGATTACCACGCGAGGCTACTTTAGATGGATGGGCCCTGGCTTGTTCATGACTAGTCAAATTCAGTTTTGTCCAAAAATAAGTCAAGTTCCCTACACCAGCATGGAATATCCTTTCTTTGCTGGTTCAGGACTAATAGTAGTCTCACAATATCAGTTCAAGTTACTTCACCCCAGTCCTCACTTTATCATTTTAAACACTCTATGTGAGATCTCTGGCATCTCACATTTCACATCTAAACACTGACTCTGTAAGGCTTAGGGAGATGTCTGTCCTGTCTTGCTTTATTTTTCCACTCTATTTTAATGCTAGTACCTAGTACACAGTAGGTTCTCAACAAGTATTTGTTGAATGAATGAATCATTACATTAATATTAGTAATTATTTATTTTCCAATTAGAATGAGAGAACAATGTAAGAATTACAACATTCAAAATGGGCAAATGTCATTTTTTTCATTTTCATAACATTTGTGTTAGCATAAAAGAAATACAGTATTGGGGATAATGGTGAAGTTTCCTTCATTTCCTTCTCCCATTTTATCTTAAATCACTGTTGTTATTTCCTTTCCAGCTCTTTCAATTTTTGAAACTTTCACTATTGTGATAAATAAACAGCTAAATCGTTTTTCTGTATGTTGTGAAATTTAATCAAATATTTATTTGTGATAAAATGTATTTTTGCAAAGAAGAAAGGGAACTCACTTACTTAAACATAAAATAGGACCCATGTTCTCATTTTTAACACATATTCTCCCTGTAAATTCAAAGATCTGTTTTCTGAGAATTAAATTGCCTATGGAATCAGCTATGCTTTTGTGCTTCTAAACATGACAGTATAACAAAACTTCAGAATTAGAGTCAGCTAAGAAAACAAAGTTTATAATTCATAAAAGATAGAGGAACTATTTTTCTGACAATCAAAAGCTTCTGAATCTATATCTTCCTCATTTGCTCAAATCAAATATTAAGGCTACATATAAATATCAAAAAGGCTAAATTCCTTTCTCTGTGTATCACAGGTCTTAAGTATTCCAGAGACATGATCTAAATGAAGGGGAATATCTTAATGGAGACTAACTGGTCAGCTGCAGTTGCTTAATTTTCATGGGCAATTATAGTAAAAAAAACTAAATTTAGAATATATGGTATCTCCATCCTAAAAACCCTTTTGTTTCTAACAATAGAAGCACTCTTATTAAAACAGCCTAAATGAAACAACCCAAACTGTTGCTTGTCATCTATGTGCTCTTAAAATAACCAAGAGCAACTCATATCCACATAAAAACTACATTTTAAGTTAAAGCAAGAACACTTGCTTGAAAATGCCTAGTAACATTTGTAATTTAGCTTTGCAATTGAAAATTATCAATGATTTCTGTCATCTATCTCTGTGCTCCTATGGAATTCACCATTCTTCTAGTAGAGCATAGAGACCATTATCTCCTTGAAGGCAGGGGCTACATTTTATGCATATTGGAATCTCTTAATACACAGGGAATGCCTGGAATTCAATAAGCAATCATTCAATGGCTGACAGAAGAGATATAAGCAGAAAGCCTTCCATTTCCAGTTAAAAATCAAGCATGCCACTTAGTCATTGACTATTATAGACATTAATTTCACTACCCCTCACAATGGATTTGTACAAACTTTAAATAAATACCTTAGCTAACTGTTCTCCCCATTGTTTCTGTGTCTTTAATTTGGCAGGTGGTCAAAACTTTTCCAAGTAAGTACAGAACTCATGCATCACAATTCAATAAACCTGGTTTCACATCTAGAACACAAGGCAGGCATCTGCCTTGACAACAAAATTGTTCCAGGGAGTACACTATAAATAACACTTCCTTGGCCATTTCAGATAGGTGATTTGGCACTGTCCACGGGTTCTAAATATCCTTGAACTTAATATTCCTTACAATTTATATGTGCAGCACTAGCTACACTGAAAGTTTGCTGTGTTCCAATATATTTGGGCAATGCTACTTAATACATGGTCTCTTTGATGACATAAAATACAAACTCTAAGAAATCATGTTGTACAAAAGCCCATTTGACCACAATTAAAGAGCATCTCTCTTTTTTTTTTTTTGGTATGGGGAATTGAACTTGGGTCCTTGTGCTTGCAAGGCAGGCCACTGAACCGCTGAGCTAAATAGCATCTCTAAAACTTTATTTTTGTAACACCTATGAATTTTGCTTAGGCTTAGTGCTGAAGGAGCATACTTTGAAAAAAACCTTCTTTACTTGAATCTCAAAATTCCTAGCAAATATGTAGCATGTAGGATATTATTTTTGTCCTCTATGAATTTATCCAAGTACATAATTAATACTGTTGTGGCTTGTGCTCTAACTTTGGTCATGGTTCTCCAAGAGTTACTATATACTAACATAATGATAATCCTTCATCTACTTGCAATTTTCTCTCTAGAGTTAGGAATTTCAAACTTTGTACCTGAGTATAACAAGCTAGTACGTGTGATCATTCCACAGGATGATGTGACTGGTACGCATGATGCTGCTTTGATCCATCCATCCCCACTCTATTGTTAGCATCTCTTGGGAACTATTTGTGTAAATCTGAGGTCATTAGGAACATGACCTATGGACCGACAGAACATCCTTTACCTGTTCACATGAGCGCCCGCTCAACTATAGTGTTTAGATCTCCCTGCCCCACTGAAGAGTCACTAGATAGTGTGGTGCATGAGAACATTTTACATGATTCTTAGCTAAATTTTTTCAAACACCTCAGCTGTGTAAAAGTTCATGTGTGTTTTATTTCTATAAATCAATAGATCTTCACTCTTCCCATAACATCCACTAGGGTTTTGAACATGAACCAAACTGAACTGCTTATGGAATAATTCATACTCCTCTCCAGAATAGTTATTTGAGTCTGGTAGGATGTTTCCTACATTTTACAGATGAAGAAACTGAGATTTATTCACATATAATAACAAGCCTGTGATCTTCTGATTCACGATTCAGTGTCTTTTTCACTACCATTGAAGTTCTAGTAAAGAAAGATCGGAAGAGCTTCCTTCTGATCATTGCCATGTGATGTAGATTCTGATTGCTTTTTATCAAATGTCATTTCATTAAATTTCAATTAAGAAAATATAGAATAACATGATTTTGCTTGGTATTTTATTATTATTTGTTTGCTTACATTTTTATCTTTACTTTACGTCAGAATATCTAATTTTATTATAGGCGGTCTACCTTCTATGCTGGTAACTCAATTTTATGTTGCTCTTCAAGCAAACAAAGCAGATTTATGTTACAAAAGAGATGAGTCCAGTTCAATGTGTCTGTCTCTATATTGTTCAATGAAGCAAAGTATTTCTGGCTGATTTCTTTCATCACAGACAAATTAATAGACAGATTTTAGGGAAATTATTTGAGAATTAAGGACTTTAAGCAAGTCAATGCAGAGTTTTACACTCCTTAAGACTACTACCTGTGGATAAACTTTTATAGTGAAGCTTTTCTGTATTCAGCTTATATATCCTAGAGTAAAGCCTAAAGAAGTGGCAAGTACTTCAGAGCAAGTACCTACAGAAAATGGTTACAGCTCCATGTAAACTTAACTCTCAGTTTTAGGTTATGGGCAGCGAATAACTCTAAACTTTTTCTCCAAGTCTCTGTTTGATTTTCTTAAGAGCTATACTTAGACTCAATGATCCAGGTGACACAGATGTTGCTTAAATCTGGGACCTTGAGGGATCACTTTTATTTTATCCAGCTAACAAAAGACAAAGGGTTTGGAATATAAATTTTGCCCTTTGACTTGATAAATTCCCATGGATTATCTATTAAAACTATAACAGGAATGGGTATATATCCCTTAATTTCTTTCATTGATGCTTCCCAAAAGCTAAAAAATGTTTGCCGTAATACTTTTATGGATATAAAGTATTTAGTTGACATTTTTTGATACAATAGCTGATGAGAACAACAATGCAATGTGATAGTATAGATACAATGGATAAATCTATAAAATATTCCCTGTTAGTTGAAGCTTGATGTTACAACATTAATACTTTTTTCTTGTAAGCAGTTTCATAACTTTTGCATAGTCTGAAGGCAGTGGGTTTTCATATGGAAGTGTGTAGGAGCCTTAAATAACCATTTTTAAAGTCACAAAATAAAATCCAAACTCCATCACTTGTTCCAAAAAGTCTAGACAGTGCATCATCAAGATACTTACATGAAGAGAGTGAAAGTATTTGTGAGACTGGAAAGGAATTATGTTTTTGCCTGTTTGAATTGGGACAAAATGTTTCTGTTGCTGTGTAATCATTGACTATTTCTGGGGAAACAGAGAAGGAAAACCTTAAATTATTAGCTCTGGGTTTACTCTTTCTTCCTTCACTAAATCTAAACAAGGTCAAAAGTTTTGTACATGTTATAAAGGGAAACTTTTCATTTAAATGATCTTATAGGGCCAATGAAGGTACTTTATTTTGATATTTGGTTTTTCTTAAAATAACTGATAAAACTGGTTTATTTGCTAGTATCACTACACTATTTAGGTTTTACATTGGTGTATTCACTCCTTGCTATAAAACTTTTAAAGCTGGTTAATAAATTTCAGCAAGAGGATTTGGTTAGGTCTTATTAAAACCTGAAAGTCAATGAGAAAGACACAAAAAAAATATGAAAATATACCTTTAAAAATAGCTGAGCAAATGAAAGCAGAAATTGTGATGGATGATGCAAATAGTACATAGTTCAAATTATTTTAAAAACATGTATCTGCAAATTTCTTTTAACAAAGGAAGCTTGAAAATATAGGTAATGGCATGGGTTATTATTTTTTTCAAGACTAGATAAAGGGTCAAGAGAAAAGCATAGTGTTATCTGCAGCAAAATTATTCTGGAATTTGGCCAGCTATGCTACTTGAAATTGTATAATTCTATCATCTCAGAATTAAGT